CAAAGCAGAAGAGCAGCCCCCCCACACACCCCCGGTCACGGCTTGCCAAGGAAGGCCTGATCCGAGGGGAGCAGCTCTTACTTCTGGGGCCCAGACCCTGCGGAGGGGGGGGCCCCCCGGGCACGTGTGTCTCCAGGCCCTTTCCTGCAGGCCCCTCCCGCCACCCCCCCCTCCTCGCACTGCCTGACCTTGGCTGCCTCCACCATCTTGGCCGTGGCGTCCGCCAGAATCTTAGCGGCACTCAGCAGCTTCCGCGAGTTCTCGAGGTCTGTTTCCCCCTCCGCATCGGCCTTGATGGCATTCACCAGGTCAGAGGTGGCCTGGGCCAGAATGCGTGCCTGACGCACCATCTCCCCTGGAGAACGAGAGGGAGAGGAAGAAGAGGAAGAAGAGAGGCCTTCATCAGAACAGCAGAACAGCCCTGCTGGGTCAGACCAGGGAGGGTCCACCTAGCCCGGCATATCCCGCCTCGCACAGGGGGCCCGGCCAGTGCCAAAACTGTGGCTCGGGAGCCGCATGCGGCTCTTTCACACTTCTTGTGCGCCTCCCGGCAGGGCGGCTAGGGAAGCTCAGTATCACTAGCAAACAAGTATCTTTGGACAAATAAATACCATTACCAATATCTGCTTTTACCCCTTTTGTTATTATTTTTGGCAGCCTCATTTAATGTTCATAAAAAGCAGCCTTGCATATCTAGTAAAAATGTATAAAATCTGTTCACGTCTTGTGCCTCTTACGTCAAGTGAGTTTGGCCACCCCTGCTCCGGAGGACCAAACAGGGCCCAGAGGCCGAGGCCTTCCCCCGAGGTTGCCTCCCGGCTCTGGGATTCAGAGTATTAGTGCCTCTGAGCGTGGAGGTTCCCCTCAGTCACACTGGCTCATAGCCACTGGTGGACCTCTCCCTTCAGGAGTCTCTCCAATCCCTTTTCAAAGCCGCCTGTGCCTGCAACCGCCACTATGTCCTCCGGCAGTTAATTCCACATTTTAGTCACTTATTGAGTAAAGGAGCATTTCTGCTGCCCCCATCAGCTTCACAGGGTGCCCCACAAGTGCCTAGTGGGGAGGGAGAAAACGTTCTCTCTGCCCACTTATTCATGCATAGTTTTACGGACCTCCATGGTCCCACCTCGGTTCCCCCCCCCCCGTTTTTCTCCTAAAGTGAGAAATCACACAACCCCCCTTCTGCCTTTCCTCCTAAGGAGTGGCCCCCCGTGTGCTCAAGGCTCAGCATCACTCGTGGGGCTCCAAAATCTTTCCCCACTACCAACAGCACCTCCCCAAATGCTGCCACCCTCGGCCTCCTAGCTGACCCGCCACTGTCCTCTTGCAAGAGGGATGTGTGTGTGTGGGGGGGAGGGGGGGCTCAGTAGCAGCGCATCCGCTTCGGCAGGCAGGCGGGAGGGGTCTCAGGCCCAATCCCCGGCAGTGGGTGATGCAGAGGGCCTTCCTCCCCAGAGGCCCAGGAGAGCCGCTGCCAGTGCTGACTGGGCAGTGCTGACCTGGGGGAGGGGTTGGGGGCTGACTCGGTGTGTGAGGCGGCAGCTTGCTGTGTCCGTGCGTGGGAGGGCGGCAGCTATAGGGCCAGGGGATCCCCGGCAGCCAGCCAGCCAGCCACGGCCGTCGCACTCCAACCCCAATCAATCCCGGCAGGGCAGGGCAGGGCAGGGCCGGGAGGGGGGGGGCTCACCTGCGTCCCCCATGGAGCTGAAGATATTCTCCGTGACGTTGAGGATGGTGTCCGTGGCCTGGTCATAGCGCCCGATCGGCTGCCCGCCCGTGGCATGCTGCTTGATGTGTTCCAGGAGGTCGTTGAGGGCCTGTGTCACGGCTGTGGCCGCCACCCCCACTTGCTTCAGCAGTTGCTGGTCATCCGTGGCAGCCTGAGAGGCATCCACGCAGCTCTCCACAGACTTGGCCACCAGCTTCCCGGCCTCAATGAGCTGCTCCTGGCACACGGGCGAGCTGATCGTGGGAGCCACCACCTGCCAGGGAGGAGAGGAGCCGGCTGAAGGGTGGGGGGGGCACCCCTGGTCTGCTCTCTCTCTCGGCACGGCCCCTCCGAGGCTCAGAGCCCCCCCCCCCCGAGGCACGCACTTGCCTTGCCCACTCCCAGTCCCCTGGGCAGGCGCATGGCCCCAGGCCTGCCACGGGGCACCCTTCCCCCTAACACGGGGGGACCCAGCCAAAGAGCCCGAGGCCCCAGAGGCGGCAGCGAGATGCCAGGGCTCAGGGGAGATGCCAGGGGGCCGCCACTCACCTTGGTGCAAGCCACGAGCTGGGAGGTGGACAGTGCGCACTGCGTGGCTGCGGCGATCACCTGGGTCTGCAGCGCTGAGTCCTCCGTCCTTTGAGCCACGCTCTTGGCCTTCAAGACCAAAGCTGCGGCAGCGCTGGCCACGGCCTTGGCCAGCTGCATCAGCATGTCCTGGGAGGGGAGGGGAGGGGAGGGCGAAGTGTCAGGCCTGCAGGCGTCGCAGCCACACATGACGCACATGGGAGCATTCCACAGGGAAGCGGGAGTCCTCCACGGCGAAGCACGCAGTGAGAGCGCCCCTCCGCACACTCCTCCGCTGCTCCCAGAGACGGCCCAGTTTTGCTGCCCCCATCTGCGATGCTGAGCTCTGGCCAGCCCCACGCATCCCCCAAGGTCCGCCTGCCTGGAGCCAGCTATGCCCGCGCTTACCCTGAGACCCCCCCCAAGTCACCACCGTCTCCAGCCCCAATCACGTGCCTGGAGACTGCCGCACACCAAGCCCATCACCAAGATCCAGCACCAGCAGCCAGCATGGCCTTGAGGGGGAGCTTTGCGGCTGTGTGCGCGCGCCCTGCCGCCGGCCCTGCTGCTGCCGCCGCCACCACCACCGTGGCTGAGCTCGCTCTGCAGCTGAGAAACCGGCCAGTGACTCACAGACCTGTCGCTGTGTGCACGTGTGTGTGTGTGTGGGTGTCCCTGGCCTTTTCTAAGAGCAGCCAGCACTGAAAATGTGAAGCCGCCTGATGCTGAATCAGACACACACACACACACACACACACCCCTTGTCTACCCAGGTCAGTCTTGCCTACAGGGTCTCAGGCAGAGAAGAAGATCTTTCACACCCCCTCCTGTCTGACCCATTTTAACTGGGGTTGGACCCGGGACCTTCTGCAGGCTGAGGGGGTGCTCTGTCACTGAGCCACAGCCCCTCCGGCACAGACAGGCACCCAAAGAGGAGGAGACTGGCAGCGCTCTCTAGGGTCTGGGCCAGGGGGCAGCCCTCACCACAGAATGAACTGCCCTCGCCACAGAAACACCTGATGTTGGACTGGGCCCTTCCCCTATGGTGGTGGAGCGTCCCCCCCCCCCCGGGTGAGCAGCTCCCTGCGGGGTGAGAAATCACCCCGATGGCTTATGGCTCAGGTGCCTCCTTCCCTAGGGGGCGTGCCTCCTTCCCTGGGGCCCAGCAGAGAACGAGTGACTCAGGGCACCAGCTGAAGGCACCAGCCACGGGGACAGGGCCGAATCCCTGGCGGGGGCGGGACAGGTGGCATCCTGCTCAGCTCGCGGGCAACCTGGACCTGACTTCTCTAGCAAAGGATCTGGGAGGTGCTTTCCTCAACGTGACCAGTCCACAGATCTGAAAGGAGCAGCAGTAGCAGCAGCAGCAGCAGAAGCAGCAGCCGGGACACATCCTCCTCGGAGCCAGCGGCACAAGCCCAGGCCGCAGAGGGAGCCAAGCCCAAGACCAGCTCTGGAGAACCGGCCACTGCAAGTCCCCTTTGCCAGCAACCCCTGATCAGGGGGCCACACGGAGGCCCCTGCCCCTCTCGGGCGCCTTTACCGTCCTTGGGTCGGGGGCAGACAGGGTCCGGGGGCGCCGGTTCTCCACAATCTGCACATGAATCCATAACACACAAGACGTTACTGGCCCGAAGTCCCATCCCCCGTTGCCAGTCCTGGCCAGCGTCAGACTCGTGTTCTCCTGCCGCACTCGGGGAGGATTTCTGCTGCCCACATGACTGCTCCCCTCCGGGGGGGGGGGGGGGGGGCGATGACGACGCATCACTCACCTGGAAATGGGGGTCCGCATCGCTCTCCCCAATCTGCTGCAGCAACTCTCCGCTCGTCTGCCCCACCGTGCCTGCCGCTTGCAGGAGGTTCTGCCGTGGCTGGAGGAAACGGGACAGAGTTAGGGCCAGCCGCCTGGGGACAAATCCCTGCCTGTCACAACCACCCGCCAGCCACCTGCCTCGGGAGAGGATCCCGTCCCCACCAGACGGCCTTCCTCAGGGCCAGCCTTTGACCCGCCTCATGAGAACACAGGAGACGCCAATGTTGGATCAGGCCAAAGGCCCATCCAGTCCAACACTCTGTGACACACAGTGGCCAGAAATACCAGGGGCCATCAGGAGGTCCACCAGCCACGGGTGCCCCCCCCCCAAGCACCAAGAAGACCGAGCATCCCATGCCCCAGAGCCCCTATCTATACCTTGTGGCTAATAGGGGCCACCAATAGACCTCTGCTCCATATGCTTATCTAATTCCCTCTTGAAGCCGTCCATGCTTGCAGCCGCCACCACTTCCTGTGGCAGTGAATTCCATGTGTTAATCACTCTTTGGGTGAAGAAGGACTTCCTTCTATCCGTTCTAACCCGACTGCTCAGCCATTTCATGGAGTGCCGGCAACCTTCCTCTTGCTATCTCGAGACCTTGTCAGGCAGTCCATGTCACTAGACATGGTCTCAGTGGACAATTTCAATCCACCTTCCTGTAGAAAAGCAACAGGTACCCCCTCATCTCTCTGAGATGAGCCAACCTGAACCAGAGGCTTTCCCCCAATATTCAGTTTAAAAACTGCTCTGCCACCTTTTTGATCCCCCTCATGGATCACTGCCTTGTTGTGGCGAGGGGGCTTGCGCAGTTCAATGAAGCTGTGGGCTATGCCGTGAAGGGCCACCCAAGACGGACAGGCCACAGCAGAGAACTCAGACCAAGCGTGATCCACCTGGAGAAGGAAATGGCAACCCACTCCAGTATTTTTGCCAAGAAAACCCCATGGACAGTATCAAAAGGCTAAAAGATATGACGCCGGAAGATGAGCCCCTCAGGTCGGAAGGTGTCCAATATGCTACTGAGGAAGAGCAGAGGACAAGTACAAGTAACCCCAGAAAGAGTGAAGCGGCTGGGCCAAAGCCGAAAGGACGCTCAGTTGTGGATGTGTCTGATGGTGAAAGGAAAGTCCGATGCTGCAAAGAACAATACTGCATAGGAACCTGGAATGTAAGATCTATGAATCAAGGTAAGCTTGACGTGGTCAAAAATGAGATGGCAAGACTGAACATCGATATCCTAGGAATCAGTGAACTAAAGTGGACAGGAATGGGCGAATTTAACTCAGAAGACCATTATATCTACTACTGTGGCCAGGAATCTCGTAGAAAAAATGGTGTGGCCTTTATAGTCAACAAGAGAGTGCAAAAGGCAGTACTGGGATACAATCTCAAAAATGACAGAATGATTTCTGTCCGATTCCAAGGCAAACCATTCAACATCACAGTAATCCAAGTCTATGCCCCAACCACTGATGCAGAAGAGGCTGAAGTGGACCGGTTCTATGAAGACCTACAACACCTCCTAGAACTAACACCAAAAAATGATGTCCTCATCATCATAGGGGACTGGAATGCTAAAGTAGGAAGTCAAAAGGTAACTGGAATAACAGACAAGTTTGGCCTTGGAAAGCAAAATGAAGCAGGGCAAAGGTTAACAGAGTTTTGTCAAGAGAACACACTGGTCATAGCGAACACCCTTTTCCAACAACCTAAGAGGCGACTCTACACATGGACATCACCAGATGGGCAACACCGAAATCAGATTGACTATATAATTTGCAGTCAAAGATGGAGAAGCTCTATCCAGTCAGTAAAAACAAGACCTGGAGCTGACTGTGGTTCAGATCATGAGCTACTCATTGCAAAATTCAGACTTAAACTGAAGAAAATTGGGAAAACCACGAGGCCATTCAGGTTTGACCTAGATCGCATCCCTGATGAATATACAGTAGAGGTGAAGAATAGATTCAAGGGTCTGGATTTGATAGATAGAGTGCCTGAAGAACTATGGACAGAGGTTCGTGACATCGTACAGGAGGCAGCAATCACCACCATCCCAAAGAAAAAGAAATGTAAGAAAGCAAAGTGGCTTTCTGATGAGGCTTTACAAATAGCAGAGGAAAGAAGGAAAGCGAAAGGCAAAGGCGAAAAGGAAAGATTTACCCAACTGAACGCAGATTTCCAGAGAACAGCAAGGAGAGATAAGGAGGCCTTCCTGAATGAACAGTGCAAAGTAATAGAAGAAAACAATAGAATGGGAAGGACTAGAGATCTCTTCAAGAAAATTGGAGAAATCAAGGGAGCGTTCCATGCAAAGCTGGCCATGATAAAGGACAAAAACGGTAGGGACCTAACAGAAGCAGAAGAGATTAGGAAAAGATGGCAAGAATACACAGAAGAACTATACAAGAAAGACCTCGATGTCCTTGACAACCACGACGGTATAATCACTGACCTCGAGCCAGACATCCTGGAATGTGAAGTTAAATGGGCCTTAGAAAGCATTGCTAACAACAAAGCTAGTGGAGGTGATGGTATTCCAGCTGAGCTATTCAAAGTCTTAGAAGATGATGCTGTTAAAGTTCTGCACTCCATTTGCCAGCAAATTTGGAAAACGCAACAGTGGCCACAGGATTGGAAAAGGTCAGTATACATTCCAATCCCAAAGAAGGGCAATGCCAAGGAATGTTCAAACTATCGCACAATTGCACTCATATCACACGCTAGCAAGGTCATGCTCAAGATCCTACAAGCTAGGCTTCAACAGTACGTGGATAGAGAACTACCAGAAGTACAAGCTGGGTTTCGAAGAGGTAGAGGAACGAGAGATCATATTGCCAACATTCGCTGGATTATGGAGAAAGCAAGAGAGTACCAGAAAAATATCTACTTCTGCTTCATTGACTATGCTAAAGCCTTTGACTGTGTGGATCACAACAAACTATGGCAGGTCCTTAAAGAGATGGGAGTACCAGACCACCTCACATGTCTCTTGAGAAACCTGTATAAGGGCCAAGAAGCGACAGTTAGAACCGGATATGGAACAACTGATTGGTTCAGCATAGGAAAAGGAGTACGACAAGGATGTATATTGTCGCCTTGCTTATTTAATATATATGCAGAGTACATCATGCGAAATGCTGGCCTGGATGAATCACAAGCGGGAATTAAGATTGCTGGGGAAAAGATCAACAACCTCAGATATGCAGATGATACCACTCTAATGGCTGAAAGTGAAGAGGATCTAAAGAGCCTCTTGCTCAGAGTAAAAGAGGAGAGCGCAAAAGTGGGCTTGAAGCTCAACATCAAAAAAACTAAGATCATGGCATCCGGCCCCATCACTCCTTGGCAAATAGAAGGGGAAGTCGTGGAAGTAGTGACAGACTTCACGTTCCTGGGATCCCAGATCACCGCAGACTGTGACTGCAGCCATGAAATTAAAAGACGCCTGCTCCTTGGGAGGAAAGCGATGGCGAACCTAAACAGCATGATAAAAAGTAGAGACATCACCCTGCCAACAAAAGTCCGCATGGTCAAAGCAATGGTATTCCCAGTAGTCATGTATGGCTGTGAGAGTTGGACTATAAGGAAGGCCGAGCGCCGAAGAATAGATTCTTTTGAACTATGGTGCTGGAGGAGACTCTTGAGAGTCCCTTGGACTGCAAGAAGAACAAATCAGTCAATCCTCAAAGAAATCAACCCTGACTGTTCCCTGGAAGGCCAGATAATGAAACTGAAGCTCAAATACTTTGGCCACCAAATTAGAAGGGAGTACTCACTTGAAAAGACCCTGATGCTGGGAAAGATTGAAGGTCAAAGAAGACGGGGACGGCAAAGGATGAGATGGTTAGACAGTGTCATCGATGCAACGAACATGAAATTGAGTCAACTTCGGAGGACGGCGGAAGACAGGAGAGCCTGGCGGGAGATTGTCCATGGGGTCGCGAAGAGTCGGACTCGACTGTGCGACTGAACAACAACAACAACCTTTTTGATTTTAAGCGCCAGCAGCCTGGTTCCTTCTCGGGATAAGTGGAGACCGTCTCACCTGTACAGCTCCCTCTTGTTCCAAAAAGCATCCCAGTGCCTAACAAACTTGAACCCTTCCCCCCTACACCATCGTCTCATCCACGCATTGAGACTCCTGATCTGTGCCTGTCTCTCCGGCCCTGCGCGTGGAACAGGTAGCACTTCTGAGAAAGCTACCTTGGAGGTCCTGGACCTACGTTTCCTGTCCAGCAGCCTAAATTTCTCCTCCAGGACCTCACAACTGCATTTCCCCACATCGTTGGTGCCGACATGCACGACGACCACTGGCTCCTCCCCAGCACTATCTACCAGCCTATCTAAAACACGGTAATGTCCGCTACCTTCGCACCAGGCAGGCAAGTCACCTGAAGCACGCCCTGAGGAGGGCAATGTAAGATATTTCTTAACTCCTTCTTGGGAGAAGGACCAAAGACAAAGAGCACCATGACGAAGAACCTGTGAGGTAGTCACATTAAGGGAACGCATAAGAAGAGCCCTGCTGGATCAGACCAGTGAGGGTCCATCCTGTCCAGCATCGCGTCTCTCACAGTGGCCAGCCAGTTCCTCTGGAGGGCCAACAACAGGGCAGAGAGGCCGAGGCCTTCCCCTGATAAGGACACCAGAAGAGCCCTGCTGGGTCAGACCAGGGAGGGTCCCTGTAGTCCAGCCTCCCGTTTCACACAGGGGCCAACCAGTTCCTCTGGAGGGCCAGCAACAGGGCACCCAACTAACCCCACCCCAGAAAAAGCATAACAGATAGGGGGGGGGGGATAGGGAAGTCCAACCGAAGGGACACAGGCAGAGGTGTGTTTGGCTCATGCGTGCCACAACCACAGGATACACTCTCTGCCCCCACTCCTTCTGCCAGCAACTTGACATACTGGTCCACCTGCCCAAAGACCTGAAGGCCAAGAAGCGTGCTTGATGCTACACAGACGTCCACTCTCTCCCTCGTGACACAAAAGAGCTCAAGAGAAGGGCAGCAAAGGGGAAGTCCTCTTCACCCGAGACACCATCGGGCCAAGCCTGTGCGACGTGGTGGTCACAGGGGGCCGGCCTAGCAGAGGGGAGACCTCGGTGCCAGTCCCATCCCGTCCCCCCCACACACGCACGGAGCTCACGAGTGGACTTCTAAGCCAGCCGCTACACCAGTTTGGTGTAGTGGTTCAGTGCGCAGACTCTAATCTGGGAGAACCAGGTTTGATTCCCCACTCCTCCACTTGCTCCTGGCTGGATGACCCTGGGCAAGCCGTAGTTCTGATAAGAGCTGTCCTTGAAAAAGAGCAGTTTCTGTCAAGAGCTCTCTCAGCCCCACCGACCTCACAGGGTGTCTGTTGTGGGGAGGGGGAGGGAAAGGAGTTTGTAAGCCGCTCTGAGACACCTTTGGGTAGTGAAGGGCGGGGTATACATCCAATCTCTTCTTCTTCTTCTTCTTCTTCTTCTTCTCAGGGAAACCGCTCTGAGCGCCCCGACGGAAGGGAAATCGCTTTCCCCCCAAAGCCGCCACAAAGCCGCCACAGTGGGATTCCTCTCCCAACAGAGGCACCTGCTTCGCCACGCCGGCACAAGCCCATGTGTCTCCAGAGGTTGAGCGAACGGCCTCTCCCCGGGGAGGAAAGCGCGCGCACCTGGCGCCCCCCTGCCCCCGCCCCGCTCACCTCGGCGCTGGCCGGCTGTGCGGTCTTCAGCAGCTCAGAGACGGCTCCAGCCAGGTTCTTCGCCGCCTGCAGGAGCTGCCGCCCGTTGCCCCCCTCGTCCTCCATGAGCGCCGCCAGCAGTTTGACCCCTTTGGACATCTCTGTCAGGTTGGAGGAGATGGTGGTGACGGCGCAGCCCACCGCGGTGTAGTCTGTCTCGGCAGGGTCACCCGCCGTCAGGTTCACCACGGAGGCGGTGCCGGCAGTGATGGCGTCCACCTGGGAGTGGATCTCGTGCTTGGATTCATCCATCTTGTTCTTGCGCCAGGCTTTGGAGGCCTGAAACAGGGGGCGGGGGGG